CTCTCCTTTTTGAATACATACCAATTCAACCTTGCATGCGTATCTGGATTTTCCATCTGCTATGCTTTTCCATCTGCTACGTATCTGGATTTTCCAAAATCGTAAAAATACAATTGTTTTAGATGAAACTCGTCAAAATAAAATTGTACAAAAAGCTAGTCCAAAAAATACAATTGTTTGATATGAAACTCATCAATATCCAACAAAATACAATTGTCTGAGATAAAACTCATCAAAATAAATTTGTACAAAACTAGTAGGATGAATATTCTCCACTTCAAAGGTTGTTGTTCCAAAAAAAATTCTCTAAATTCTATTATAACTTGATCTAAGATGTTGATGGATTTGAAAATTTCAGTTCAAGAGTGGTTCCCAGAGGTATCGGTTGAATGTTTGATGTTGATGGATTTGAAAAATTTAGTTGAGGAGTGCTTCCCAGAGGTATTGGTTGAATGTTTTCCTGCAAATTAATAAAAAGGAAAAAATTACTTATGAAACTAGAGAACAAAAATATAGTACACTATATATAGTACACTCAGTGAAGATATAAACTTGAGGATTCATAAATGAGTAATTGGACATCATGGGACTTATAGCTTGAAATCCAAGTTGGTGATTTTGAATCCCTTGAACACAAGGAACAATTGGAAATCCATAAGGAAAATGTGTGACTTGACTTACGGGTGCCATATTGAATTGGTTTTGACTTGGCATTCCAATATCACCCTAGATACCAATTCCAATTGATCCATCAGAAATATATTAAAACAATGGTAATGGACAAAAATATAAATAAATAAATAAAACATTCATGACAAAAAATTGCTAAACTTTAAACCTAAGTTTGTGCATTCTTGTTGATGGTCCGTTCATCTCGTATGCATTTGAATTGGATTCTTTAAAAGCTATTAAACAATTAAAATAATAATTACATTGACAATTGCAAATTGTGAATCAAATAGTAAATAAAAACAAGCCAAATATGTGCTAACCTTTTCTCTTGTATGGACCTTTCTTTTTAGGTTGATTAGATTCCAAAGCACTCTTCATTCTACCTTTGCCCCGACCTTTGGACTTCTGAACTTTTGGATCTTGGATCTTAAGATTTTTCTCAGCTTCAGTCACATGCTTAACATAATTTACATCATCTTGTTCTCCAAAATTGGCATGCTTCCATTTTTTTCTCCAACTTTAACAACTTAGATTTCAAAAAACTACAATTTTGACTATTTTTTGCACCTTTTGCTATGATTCTTTGTGCTATATTAGATAGCTCACTGTACTGAACCAAGGAAGATGAATCCAAATTACTCACAGCCGGTTCGCCATAAGAAGCAAATCCAATACCACATTTAGCATCCTTGCTCCATCTTTTCAAATAATAATTGGATGGTATACTTGATAAGTCTAAATCATAGTATAACTTTAGAGCATGTGCACAAAGAATCCCCTCAAACTCAAACTTTTTGCAATTGCACAAAACTATTTGATTTGCAAGGTCATATATAAGTGTTCTATTAATTCCTCGTTTTCCTGAGCTCATTATTGTGTATGTACGTGTTAGCCCATCATCACTTTCTAATTTCAGTGGCCTCAAATTTAAAACTTTCTTAACCTCCTCTTGGAAATAATAAAAAATCTTACTTGTATACTGCTTTGATGCTTCAATCTCCACATTCCAATCAGAATACAAACTACGCCATTTCTGTTTAGTAGCATTTTCTGCTTGCCTTTCCTTTTCTTTTCGATCCGCTATTGCTTTATCATATTGGATGACGAACTCTTGCAGAAGGAGGTTTCGAGCAAAATACTTTTTCAAAAACTTGTTCATGCTTTCAATTCTTTGTGTTGTTGTCATACCTAAGAAAAAAATGGAAATTGATCACAGTATAGTGGAAAAAGAAACTTGTGAATAATATATATAAATAATATAATAGGAATTGATCAAGAGTAATACCTGCACAAAAATGATCTCGACCATAAACTTGTGCCCATTTCTCACGTAATAGATATATCCCTTCTAGCCAATCATTTCCTCTCAATTCATAATCATCAAGTAATTTATTCCAATTTGATTCAAATTCTTCAATAGTCTCCGGATCATATATGCATCTTTTGAAATCCTGTGTAAATGATTTAAACTCATTGAAAACACGATTCAAGTTCCTTGCAGCATTCTGATATATGTGCTACAAACAAAGTCGGTGGTGGCAATTAGGAAATACTTCACTAATCGCAGCAGCGATTGATTGGGCTTGATCTGTAAATATGGTTCCTGGTGTTTTTCCATCCATGGCTTGTAAAAAGGCCTTGAAAAGCCACTCACATGCATCTGTTGTCTCTCCATCTGGCAAACCACATCCGAAAAGTATGGTTTGACCATGATTATTGATACCAACTATTGGGGCACACACCATATTATATCTATTCGTTTTGAATGTCGTATCAAAACACACAACATCACCAAATATAGTATCGCGCCTTGAATTTCCATCACATAAAAAATAACCACTTATTTCATTCTCCTCGTTTGTTCGAAGAGAATAGAAAAATGATTTGTCTTCAGATTGAATTGTTACAATCAGACTGAATAAAATTTAGTTTTTGAGACCCTCCTGCTTCTGTGGTAAAGTATGAGAAGATTTGAGATGGCTGTAGTCCTGCAGAATGCATTTGATCTATCAATTTTGCTTGAGAAGACTCTATTAATCGTTGTGACCTCAATAAATGGGAACTTGATGCTGGAACAACATGACTATGTTCAGCAACAAAATTTGTCACAACAAACTTCCTTTCTAAATTAAGTTTGATTTCAAGCATCACCTTGTAGCCACATCTTGTTTCTTCTTTTCTTCTTTGGAGTTTTTTTTTTTTTTTTTTTTTTTTTTTTATAAAAACCTTCACAAGAACAACAAAATTGTTTTTTCTTTAGCACACCTGACCTGTCCTTATTTTCTCTATTCTTTCTCACGCTAAATCCAACCCTTCTAGCATATGCATTGTAGTAATTATATGCATCGTCCTCATTATCAAAAGTCATCCCCAGAGAAATATCACAAACTTTGCTTGTAAATTCTCCTTTTTCTTCATTTTGATCCAAGACTTCAAAGGTTTCGGAATCTGAATCTGAATCTAAGTGTATACAATCAACTGCTTCTTTGGCATCACTAGAAGATGGAATATGAAACTCATCATCTTGATGTTCCATCTGTTTAAGTATCAAATTACTTAATATTCAATTAAATTAACATCCTATAATAATCATAAAAAGCATATATTTTGACACTCTATAATAATCCTAAGAAAAGCATATATATATTTATATATTGACATCCTATAATCCATGATGGAACATAATTTAAAGTATATATGATGAAGATGAAGATGTAGACTCTGGGTAGTATTATCCCGTTCGGTTACACCACCACTGCCTCATCCTCAACACGAAATGGGTGTTCAATGCCCATCCTTACCTATAATAGTCCTAAAAAGCAAATAAATGGGAATTGCATACCTTTTTCTAGTCGGAAAAAAAATTGCAGATGTAAAACCCAGAAGATAGGTAGCAAATGGAAAAGCCAAATACATAGCAGATAGAAAAGCATAGCAGATAGAAAAGCATAGCAGATGGAAAATCCAGATACGCATGCAAGGTTGAATTGGTATGTATTAAAAAAGGAGAGAAGATTGAGTCGGTTTGTATTCAAAAAGGAAGTTTAAAGTTTTAATAAAATATTTAAAAAGAAAGGATATATATGGAAGTAAATAAGTAAAAGTTGGATTCTCTCACCTATTAATTCAAGTAAAAATAAAATAAAAATAAGATTTAACTAGAGTTAGTATGGATTACACATGACAAGTATTGAGAGGGGTGATAAGCATACCCTAGAGTTAGTGTGGATGAGCAAAAATGCACCCCCAACACAACTCTTGCCGCAACCACCATCTCCACCAGCACTGTGTGCCACTATCATATACATTACAAAAATATTACTACCAAACAAAAAATTATTATTTTTTGACATTATATATATATATACACACACACGCACGTGCGCGCACACATATATATATATATATATATGAATAATAGAAACATTTCAATATTTTCTTTAATAAAAAATTATAATTTAATTAAACTAATAAACACTTTATCTATTAAAAATTGTATGTCTTTTGAACATCTTTGTCTTTTTGTTTCGTTTTAAAGATGTTACAAATACTAAATTTACAAACTAAATAATATATCATCAATAAAAAAATAAACATATTAATCAATACTTTTATATCATAATTTTACAAAATTTGCCTACAAATTTATTCTTCTTTCCACCTCCATTCAGTTTCCCAAATATTGTTTGTAGAATGTTACGAGGCAGGCAGGTCCTTTCTTTCTTACACGTTTGTCTGCCTCCCTTGCTGTGCTCGACCTTTCAGAGCGAGGTTGTCTCTGTTCCTGACCTCGTGTTGCTCGAGCTCATGACTGCCTGCATTTTGCGGTTGATGGTCTCAGATTTCTTTCGTAAACTAGAGATCGTCATGAGCCTCTGGAACTTGTCGAGCCTCGACAGTGTTAACTTGGTCAGCTTGCCAAGATCGGGGGTTGACCCCATCGACCAATCTAGCTAGGCAGCTCTGTGATACAATGTTCTTCAACGAGCAAATCGTTCTACATTTGGTTCTCTGCCTCATGCACCGACTTAAAAATGTGCAGATATGGTGTTTGTTAAAATGTCTCAGTGAAATTCAAGGCAGATTATATATGTCTCGTAGTTTTTAAGATATGAAAACAGTTGCCTAAGTTCCGTACCAAGCAAGTTTTTTTTTAGTATAAAAATTTTACATGAAAACTTGTTCATCATCTCAAGAGTCTTTGTTGTTTGATGATCAAGAAATATCAGTTTTATAGCAGACAGCCAAGTGTTGCTGTTATTTTTTACTTCTCTTAACTTCTACTTTGCAAGTGTGATATAACCTTCTTTTTGCCTTTTGTTATGCAGTTTTCTCCTAAAGAAGCAAAAGAAAATGAAAATATTTTCATACTGCTACGTTTTTCTTCAAGTGTAGTCTCGATCACGAGCTAAGGTATGACCTATTGTTTCATTCTTTAATTTCATCCGCTTTGAAAAATAGGATTCCTTTCTTGTATCCTGAACTTTTTGTTTGGAATCTTGGATTCGTATATATTAACAGATAGAAGAAGCAGACGAATTGGTAAGCTGAAGGTGCCGTGGCGATGGAGATACTCACTGCGATTATTCCTAAAATAATTGACTACACAATTAGACCAGTTGGACGCCAAGTGGGTTATATCATTTTCTACAAAAGCAACCTTGAAGATCTGAGGAGTACATTGAAGAATTTTGATGCTGTCAAAGTCAGGATGAAGCATGCAGTTGATGAAGCCGAAAGAAAAGTTAATAAAAAAGTGGAAGCTGATGTCCAGAACTGGCATACAGAAGCGGATGAGATCACTCGAGAGGCAGAAGCATTATTGAATGACGAAGGGCATGCAAAGACAAAGTGTCTCATTATATGTCCTAATCTGATATCCTATCATCAGCGTAGCAGGAAGTCGACAAAACTGATGAAAAAGATTAAACTCCATGAAAATAAAAAAGACTTTTCCAGTGTTTCTTACAATGCTCCCGTAGAAGACATATCTGCCATAGCATCCGATGAGTACATGGCCTTTGAATCAAGGATTTCAATGGTGAAGGATATCATTGCAGAACTGAAAAAACCTGATATCAACAGGATTGGGGTGTACGGATTAGGGGGTGTTGGGAAGACAACACTTGCCAAAGAGGTTTACAGAGAAGCTATGAAAGAGAAGTTATTTGATGACGTTGTTATAATACTAAATGTCAAAGAGAAAAAAGATGATGAACAAATTCAAAAAGAAATTGCTGAAAAGTTTGATATGGACGTTGATGAATCTCAGAAAATGGGAACAAGGGCGAATCTCCTACGGGCCAGGATAAAAGACAGGAAGAGTACTCTTATCATTTTAGATGATATTTTGGGAATAATTGACTTCGAGGCTGTGGGACTCGTCGGCGTGCCGACTTGTAATTTATTGTTGACCTCTAGAGATCAAACAGTTCTTTCTGAGATGCGCACGCAAACGTTTTTCCAACTTGGCCTTTTAAGTGAAGAAGAAACTTGGAGTTTGTTTGAGAAGATGGCAGGTGACGTGGTTAAAGACGACCGTATACGGAAAATAGCAACCCAACTAGCACGAAGATGTGGAGGTTTGCCGGTTTCAGTTGTTGCAGTTGCAAGGGCTTCAAGAGAAGATGGTCGTTTAGAGGTATGGAAAGATGCCTTGAGGCGCTTCAAAAGTTTTGACAAGGAAGGACCAGCAGAAATAGCAAAACTTGCTATAGAGTGGAGTTACAATCGGTTGAAGGGTGATGAGCTTAGGCCATTATTCTTGCTATGTGGAGTTATTGCTGGGGGGAGCTGCAGTATTTTTCTCAGTGACTTGTTCAAGTATAGTATGGGTTTGGGTTTGATTAAAAATTGTGATACAGTGGAAGATGCAAGGAATTCATTGCATGCACTGGCTGCAAAACTAAAAAATTCTTGCCTATTGCTGGACAGTTACGATGATGGGACTGTTAGAATGCACGAGCTTGTTCGAGATGCTGCTATCTGGATTGCATCTGATGAGCAAATGGCATTTTCAAAAGCATATGGAGATGAGGTGAAAGAATGGCCCATTGAGGATTTATTTAAAAAGTACACTACAATCTCGTTAAAATCTTGCAAAATCCCCAGACTTCCTGATGTATCTTGGGAATGCCCGGAATTAAAATTGTTGATCTTGGAGAATGATAATATTGGCGACTCCCAGGAAATCCCAAGCAAATATTTTGAAGGGATGAAAGAACTCAAAGTGTTGGATGTAACGAAATTCTGTATTCAGTCACTACCTCCATCTCTTCAATCCCTAAAGCATCTCCACACATTGTGTTTAGATCAGTGCGAGTTGGTAGACATAACTCTTGTTGGACAGCTAACAAACTTGAAAATTCTTAGCCTGATAGACTCCAAGGTTAAAGAGTTGCCCAAAGAAATAGGGAAATTGACTCGTTTACAATTATTGGATTTGACCGGTTGCTCTGAACTTATTCTGATCTCACCTGATGTTATATCAAGCTTGACAAGACTGGAAGACTTGAGGATGGGAATAAAAAGCTTCAAGCAGTGGGAGGGTAAAGGTTTGGTCGATGGCAGACGAAGTAATGCTAGCGTTTCAGAGCTGAAGCACTTGTCTCAACTAACTGCATTAGACATACATGTTCCAGATGCTAACATTCTTCCAACCAACTTGTTCTCCGATAAGTTAGAAAGATACACAATACTTATCGGTGATTGTTGGGAATATCCTGACATCTATGGAACCTCCTCTAACATGCTAAAACTGAAGCTCACCAGGAGAAATCAATTCGACAGAGGTATAAAGTTGCTGGTAAAGAGATGTGAGCAGTTGTACTTGGATGGGATGGAGAGTGTGAATATTATTTCCTATCTATTTGACAGTGAAGCTGTTAAACAAGTGAAGCATCTCCATGTCCAAAACAACGACGAAGTTACATATGTCATTAACTCCATCAGTTGGAGTTATTCTCCTAATGCCTTCCCCAACCTGGAATCATTATCTCTTCACGACCTTGTTAGTTTGGAAAGTGTATGTTATGGGCAACTTATAGGCGAGCCTTTCCAAAAGTTAAAATCTTTGACACTGCGGAATCTACCAAAACTTATTGGTTTCTCTTCCAAAGGCAAGCAATTAACGATTGATACAGAAACCAACGAAATCGTTTTGGAGGATGAAGTTGGTGGAGCCCCGAAACTGTTCAACATTGGTGAGGTACGTACTTTCTAAATTGCTTTTATAGCAAAGTGGTTGCATGTTTCTTTCTCACTATAATTTTCTTCCTCGAATTTCGCCCATACACTTGTTTCGTTTTTCAATACACATGTTAATCAATACTAAAATAATAATCTAATTATCAATAACTATATGCCATATAGATTACAAAATTTGATTTAAAAATTTAGTATTCCTAGTATTACTCCGAAAAAACACACATGTCCAAACTTAATTCTAAAATCACAAATGTTTAATTTAAATTAAGTTGTCAGTGATGTTTATTTTGATGGTTGAGGACCTTTTTCTGATTTGAGTTCAACACTACTCTTTTTTTAGTGTGGAATATCGTTTTTGTTTGAAAAGAAAAATAAATTAGTACTATTTAATATAACTAATATCAAATTAAAACATAAAATTAGGTTGTATAGTAGTAACATTTCTTTTTTACTTTTAAGTAAAATTGTTTCAAATTCGAATCAAGTGACCAATAGTAACGTGAGAAATTGTTTTGGGTCCGGGTCCGGGCCATGCCCTTACACCACACTGAGAAATTGAAAAAAAACAAAAGTAATAAATAGTGGAAAAATAAAAAGAAACAATGCACAAATAGTAAATATTGAAAGAAAAAAAAACCTGAACCGTTGGACTCCTGCATTTTCCATTATTTTCAAGCGTTTCGATCACATTTTCTACTTTTGTGCTTCACCCCATACGGTATATATCCTTTAAATATCAGATACGTGTAACAATGCAATTGTTTCCATGAAACAAGAAAAAAAAAATGAAATAATGCAATCTAAATATGAAAGTTAAAAAGTTTCCAAAAAGAAAAGGGAAAATTAAAGGAATTATTGAAAGGGATATACAGTTTACACCCAGAAAAAGAGAATTATTTATGTGGTCGAATTTCGAATTTCAACCGTATAATTCTTTCGTTTTCGTAAGCCAAAACCATTCAATTATAGATATTAAGATTTTTTTTCCGATCATCAAATGAATCAATAATGTGGAAGGAGTACGATAGAAGGGAGAAATACACAATGAAAACAAACAACTGCAAATGTAAACCTCTTTAAATTGTTTCCATGTTATGTATCATTTCATCCTCATTTCTTCTTCTAATTTCTTCCTTTTAACCAAAAAGTGAAGGTAAAAAACAAAATGGTTATCACACCGCTAATCTCGAAGTGGATTATCTTTTACTAGCTAGTATCTAATTTTATATTGTTTTCCACCAAAGATCTTTCATAAAAGTTTCACTTTGTTAATTTACACTAAGGGGAAGGGGAAGGGTTTGAACCCAGGACACAATGGGTTGAAGAGAAATATGCCCTAAGCCCCCTAACCACCAGGGCTGTTCCTCCGCCACCAAAGATCTTGCACAATAATGTGTTTTTCCCCATCAATTTAATTAAATAGTTTAAATGTGGAATTAAATTGACATAAATTTTGGCCCTATATTTCTTTTTTCAGATACTTTTTTACTCCAACTTGTTCTATGATAGTTAATGAGAGTACAAAGACATAGCAGCTGTCCAGTAGCCTATTGTTTTCATATATGACCTATTTTATATCTACACATTTGGAACATATAAGGCTAACAACAATGTAACTTGCAATTTTCTAAAATATATATGAATTTTGTTCTGTACCATGCAGGTTTTGATGCCCAACTTAACAACCTTGATTGTGCATCGATGTGATAGTTTAAGATTCTTGTTTTCGAGTTCCATGGCTAAATGTCTTGGACAACTCAAACATCTCACAATATCCAAATGCCAAATCATGGAAGAGATAGTAGGGAAAAATGAGGAAAATACAGATGGCATGTTTTGTAAGCTAAAACATCTTTGGCTACAACATCTTCCAAACCTCACTAAATTCAGCTCAGGAAGTTACATTGAATTTCCGTCATTGGAGTTGTTGGATCTAGACGATTGTCCTAAATTGGAGATATTCATCTTTGATGCTAAGAGCGAAAATATTACAATCAACAAAGACAGAAGAGAGATTGACTCGAAGGAGAATTTTGAACTCTTTGATGAAAAGGTGAATTGTACCTTCACTTCTTTTCTTTAATTTCCACTTATATGAAAAAAGGTTGCTCAGAAGTTCTAAAATGAATATGTGACAGGGAGGATTTCCTAGCTTGGACAAATTGATCATCCATGATCTACCTCAGTTGGAGACAATATTCCACAACCAACTTCATCCAGACTCTTTCCGCAGGCTTAGAAAAATAGATGTTTGTAGATGCCACAGTCTGATTAATATCTTTGGGCCAAGTATCATGGGAAGATTGAATGCTCTTGACACCTTAAAAATAAAGCAGTGCCAGTCACTTCAAGTGGTATATGACACATCATCTACCACTCAGTTGAATGGTTTTGAGTGCCCAAATCTAAATTCAGTTCACATACACTCATGTGACAGTTTGAAAAATATCTTTCCAACCTCAGTGGCCAAAGGTCTTAAGCAGCTGCTATGGTTGACAATTGAGAATTGTGGTTTGATGAAGGAAATTGTTGCGAAGGAAGAAGGATCAGAAAGGACGCATGAGTTCGGGTTCCCTAAAGTAGAAACTCTGGTTTTTCATAATATGCCCCAACTTCGGAATTTCTATCCAGGGCTGCATGTTTCTCATTGGCCATCACTCAACAAATTGGGCTTCGTTAAATGTGCTAGTGTGGAGATTTTTTCTTCTGAATTTTCAACATATCACGACAAACTTGAGTTGGGCCACCCAACACCAATGAAACAACCTTTCTTTTTAATTGAGAAGGTAAATATACTTGTACACAATTTTTTTGATAATTGAATTTTTATGTGATTTTTACGTACTGGTTTTGTTTAGAAAAGTAAATACCTTTATTATGTTTTTAATATTAAAGTTATTATGTGGTGTGCACTTTTTCAAAATATTTTAAAGCATGACCGTTGATAATATTTCAGGGTAAGTCATTTCTCAACTTGGAATTCTTGAGGTTGGATAAGAATACGGAGATTTGGTATGAACATTATGGTCCACTCCCGGCAGAGATGTTGAGCAAACTTAAATCACTTTATTTTGCTACTTCACTTCCCAAGTCATATGTTATCCTTGAGAATTTACAGAATCTTGAAATGCTGCATGTGATCTCTGCTCCTTGGAAAGAATTATTTGTCCACGACCACCAAGGAAGTAGTAGCGGGGAAATACATGAGGTTGAGACCCTCCAACATGTAAAGGATTTGTGGCTTATCGATATGTCTGAGCTGATACATCTAGGAAAGGCAGGGGGGCCTGTTTTTCCAAACTTGGAAGTTCTATACCTGAACAAATGTGGCAGATTAGAGAATCTAGCTTCAGCTTTAATATCCTTTCGGAATCTAACCACTTTGGACATATGGGGTTGTCACAGACTGCAATACTTAATACCTTATTCTGTGGCCAAGAATTTGCAGCAACTCAAGAAGTTGAAAGTTAAGTCCTGTGAAGGAATGGTAGAAATAGTGGCAAACAACGGAGATGATTCAGAAAATGAGATTACTTTCAGTTGCTTGCAACATCTTGAACTTTCTGGTCTACCAAGTCTGCAAGGATTTTGCGCTGGAAATTGCATTGTCAAAGTCCCATCCTTGCACACTTTGTTTGTCGAGCACTGCCAGCTGATCGAGTTAGAGATTTCTCCTGATGGTTTACTAGTGATCCATGACCAATAAAGACTATAAATAGCAGATATTGGGGAAAGAAGAAGAAGAAGAAGAAGAAGAACATGATGACGACGATGATACATGATTAAGATGGCAGCGATGATGAAACAGTAAGCTTCCGTATACTAAATATCAAGTAAATATGAACTTTGATAATTCATAGTTTCTATTACTACTTGTTAGTATTCACTTACCAACAAAAAATTTGCAATACTCCGTACATATATGGTGAGTACCATCAAATAAATAGTACTTCTTTCTAATTTCTCTTGTTACATGCTCTGACTAATCTCTGTTCACCCCTCAACGGTGTGTGCCCAGCCTTGCTTCCGCAGCCGATCTCATCTTGTTTGATACAAGCCTGCAAGCTGCGGCCTCAATGGAAAAGCTATCCCAGAAGCTTGTATGATTTGGGTAGGCAGTATTCGAAGTCATGTTATGCTTGTGTTGGCTTGTTAGTGTTTTGCCGTAGAAGTGTGACTTGTATTTGGAACTTTGTTCACTACATTTTCTGTTTTGGTGTTTGGGAAATAATGCTTGTGTGATTTCTGTAACTGTAAACCTTGATGCATTTTGAAGTGGTGCTTGTGTGCACTTGTCTACTGAAACTGCTTTGTGCTCGAGTGTGCTCCTTACTTGAGCTCTCTACTAAAATTAAATCAATCAAATCCGCATCTTTTAATTGGATTGTTAATTTTCTCGATGTGTGTATGTGTGCATATTTTTCTTTTTCTTTGGAAAGAAAGCTAGATTTCAATTCATTCATAAAACGTAGGCTGAATTGGTTTAATTGATTTTGGACCTCTTTATCCCTAAATTGGTTTTGGGACGAACGTCAACTTTCATAATTTTCTTCTAACTCTTACTAAATGAAATGCTCATTTTACTTCTTCCCATGTTTTGCCTCTTTTTTATTTTTCCTTGTATTTTGTTTCTTGTGATAAATGAAAAATAACACTTTCCAATCATCTTCTTAAAAGCATCTCTAATGGGCTTCTTAAATGAGCTCCTAACTAACCACTCTCTTGCCTCCTCATATCAAATCCTCGTCATCCACACCTTAATTAATTTGTCTGACCGTACGATCTCCATTACCTTCCTAAAGAAAAATTATTTCAATAAAGAATCCAAAATTCAGAGGCGCAACTTCTCATTGTCAAATCTCAATGAGATGGATATTTAGTTATCTGACATTGGATTTGGGATACAGAAATGAGATGGATATTGAGCATCAATAAACAATGGGATTTTCAAATTGAATCCTTGTAAATGCCTAAATGGGAAAACATTCAAAAAAGAAATAGTGACAGATGAAATTAGTTTTGGGGTTTCAATCTGTTTTTCCATATATTCTACTCCCTCTTGGAGGTAAAATATACACTAGCGTATCTCTTGTAATACAAGCAATAATAAAGGACTCCTAACTAAACTAGGAAATACAATTAATTATATTCCTAATCTATTAGGGCTCACGCTAACGGTGACAACATATGATAATAAATTAGTGTACTTAAACAAGAAAACATTGTTCCTACTCAAAATTATAATTAAATAGTGTACCTACACGTTTGTACCCTAATATTATATTTTCTAAAGTTCAAGAGGAATTGGCTACAATCAATGAATTGTCATCCAATTTCACCTTATTTACAATAAAGCCGTCAGATTTGGGCTGGGTTGGGAGGGTAATTTTGTCCATATGATTGGGGTGCCCTCCTATACACGTGTTGGGCCGACCATCAAATGAGGTTGCATTGAGTGGGATCAACGGTTGTGTGGGATTTGGTGAGGGTTTGGGGGATGGGAGCTATTAGACCTGAAAATTTCTTACACGATCAGTTAACACGACACGTAAATGACACGAAAATAACATATTTCTGGTCAACACGATAACTAATCGGGTCGTTATCGGGTCACACGATAAGAACCTGATAGTAACGGGTCGTTAACAAGTTTACACAAGAATGACACTCGTGTAACTTGTTTCGACATGATAAGAAAAAGATATTTTGATGGTTTTAATTTTTTAAACTATTAAAAACAATACACTAGTTAGAGTGGATAAGTATATATTGTTTTGTTTATTAATTATTATTCTATCCAATTTTAAAAATTTAAGTTTTATTTATTTATTTATTTTTATAGTATTCTATATGCAAAGAGTGAGATTAAAAAATTACAAAGCATATTAAAAATAAAAATATCAAGTAATTTTAAAGCTTTGAGGATGGGTACATCGTCTTTTGAATTTTTAAAACTATACAAACCCTCATTAATATTATTTTTAAGAGAGTTCAAAATAAATAAAATTCCTAATTATTAATGTTCAAAGATATGCAAAATGAAGAGAGTTGCGTTTCAATGGTTTTATTGTAAAAAAGGTGCAATGTTCCTCAAATTTGAAACGCAACTCTCTTCATTTTGCATATCTTTGAACATTAGTATTTAAATATGTTTTTCATTTTTATTATTTATTGATTTAAAATATATTTTCTTAACGGGTAACAGGTCGGGTCATATTACCTGAAAATATTAACGGGTCGATTTCGGGTCAGGTCATATTTTTCGTTTATTTTAACGGGTGTTACACGACATGACCTGTTAAGCTATCGGGTATGACACAAACATGAGAAACACGACACGAATGCCAGGTCTAGGAGCTATGCTGCCTTTGAGAAACAGAGACAGGGTGAAGGGAGGAGTGGGGGAGAGAGAAAGTTGATTGAGGAATTGAGAGAGAGAGAGAGAGATGGGAGGATTTGTTGCTAGGAATTTTAGGGATTGCATAGAGAGGGAAATGGGACACAGGTGTCCGTTGCAAACGGAGGGATTTCAAAAGTTGAATGTGGAGAAGGTTTTGACACACTTAGACCTGCTAGACTCTCAAGTTTGACGTAATGAATTTATTGAGTTATATGTATATTAGTCAAATTGCGTTTTATGTTCTGTTGAATTTAATTTACTGATTATACTTTCTGTTGTTAGGACTTACTACTCTTAAGTTTTACTTCGAGTAGGATTTTTTGAACGACAAACCGCAAGAAGGTTTTCTTAAATGATATGCCATGAAACCTGATGATCTAATTGCCTAATATTGAGTTTTTTCGTTGAGGGATTTAGAGTTTTCCGCCAAGTCTTTCTCTTATTTTTAGTTTTTGAGTTTCAGGTAATACTTTATGGTCAAATTTGATCCTATGTCTATTTAATTAATTATATTCTTAGATCATGTAGGAAAACTAGCAAGTAGCAATGTTGCTGCTTTTTAAGTTGTTTATTCCTCTTACATGGATTTGATGTGGGATATCCATGATTGGTTGTTCAACCCAAAATCTAGGATTGTTGTTTTTATGGTTTTAAAAGGTGAAAATTAGAGGAATTTAAATGTTTTAGTTGAAGAAGGAAAACTGTACATATTCATGAATGACCCATATTGCTTCCTCTCTCTTTCACCTATCTGATCTGTTGGGAGTTTGATATCCACCATTACTAATATCCATCTATGTTGCCATTGTGTCTGTGTCTATATGTGTATATATATATATACAAGGAATGAGGATTCTCTCCAGATCCTCCAATCACATCCGTTCATCGTACATTGAGCGGTCAGAAATCATTGTATATTTTTTTATTTAAAATTGAATATAAACAGTCCCTAACGAAAACTGACCGCACGATGTACAATGAACGGACGTGATTGGAGGATCCCCGGGATCTTCATAAAGAGGATCCAGAGGGGATCTTCATTCTATACAAAGGGATCCCCAATTTTGTCAAAAATGGGGATTAGGTATGGGGCCCACTCCACATCAAACTTTAACGATCTGAACCATCTATTTTGTAAGTCTCAATTCATATATCATCCTTGCAAAAATTCAATTCAATTCGAAACCATTTGCCTATTTAAGTATCAAGATAAAATTTCATTGTTTCATATATAACAAAGTATTTGTTAATTTCTTTGAACTCAATTAGATGTCATAAACATTTCGGATTTGGCTAATATTTTGTAAGGATGATCTATGAGGTGCAACTTGAAAAATTGACGTTCGGATTGTTAAAATTCGATGTGATGTGGACCCTACATCTAATCCCCATTTTATAAAAAAAAATGAGAATCCTTTTCCTAAAAAAGTTCCTATATATATATATATATATAACTTAGAACCTAGAGTGAGATTGAGCACCTGTTGTGAAGTGTCCCAAGCCAACATTCTTTCGCAAATCTATTTCATAGAAAATCCCGCTAGACCGTCCCTATTGCCTTCCCATGCCTCTCTTCTATAAAGAAAAAAAGAATGTTTGACTAAAAGCTAAGCATTTCAATGCTTTGCTGATTGTATCCTAATATCACCAATACTTCCCTTTCAACCCTTTCAGTTGTCATTCAATTGCATAGCATTTCACAATTTCTTAGAAACCCCTTATGTGATGAACCATATGAAAATAATCGGTTTAAATCAAATGATTGTGAGATAAACTTATCGAATAATGACTCTTATCAACTGGTATTTTCTATATGTGGCATGATGGGACAGTCACATCAAAGTTCCATCGTGCTTGAAGTGGGCTTCTCATAGAGCCATGTTCACCATATGATATTCAAGGTTTGATTTTCTGATGCAATTGCTATACACATTAACCACAAAATTTATTTAAAAATCTTTATTATTGGTTTTTGCATTATTTGTTGGGAAATATCCATTCTCCTCTGTACTTAGAATTTTTTTTTATGCAAGGAAAACAAGCAAGTTGGGAAATATTTTTGAGTTATAAATACAATTAAGATTGCTGATTTATTTCCCTTATTTCAATGTGAATGCAGCTACGTAAAATCTACTTAACTAATGGAAAGGACCTAGCGTTTGGCTGCGGTAAAGTTTTAGTTGGTAAGTTCCTACTGCGACTCATGTGAATTAGTTGCAGAGTGGTTTTAGAGTTCGAATTTCATCTTTCAAGCATTATCTAAATTGCTTGAGTGCTTGAGTGCTTCTATGTTTGAATTTGATCTTTCAAATTGTTACTGAATTGTAGTTCATTAGGAAATTTTTTATTAAAATGTAATGGATGCCTTTTGGGTAATAATGCAGATCAAGACCTTTAAATCTGTTGATTCAGATGTTTGAACATAGTTGAAACTCACTATGTTGTTTTTGCAGTTTGATTAGCAATTGTTAATTAGAGTTGGCTATTTATTTTTATTTTTTTTGCTAAGAGTTTAGGGTCAATTAACAAATCTATTGTGTGATTTGTAAGAATCTAGAAGCAAACCTTCTGGAGAAGTTGAAGTCATTTGGAGTAAATTGATGAAATTTGACCATCCTGGCCAACACGTATTTTGACTATTGAGAACTTCTCAACCATATTTATTGATTGCAAGAACTAGTTGCATTTGAAAGCCGCAGCATCGCGCGGGCAATTTTTGCTAGTACATAACTATTATTGATGCTACTTGGACACACAAAATTAATACTTTTGTTGACACACTCTCCAATATTAAATGAGATTCACATACAATAGTAGAGCTCACATGAAAAAAGTGTCAACAAACATGTTAAATTTTTGTGCCCAAATAGTTTTATTGGACTATTATATTTTAGACCAATCTTTACATCATGATGAAAACAATCAAGTAAAAACTTAAAGAGTCATATTATTTGGATATACAAAACTAACACGTGTTGACATACTC